ACCCCTTAATTAAGGAATAGACCTCAAATCCGTTTAGGGATCCTACTATAATTTAATAAGGGGTATTGGAGTCTCTGGGGATTTAGGGGGTTTAGGGACAAGGGGGGGTGTCTGGGCAGGGCGGGTTTCGGGCTTTGGGATGTTTGCGGTGTCCAAAAAAGCTCAGACTCAGAACCCGGTGGGAAGCTCAGCTGCATGTGACAACAATCTTATGCAAGAAGCTGCGACGGGCGGTGTTTTTGAAGAGCAATTGGAGGATCAATCGGGTTCATGGCTTGTGGCCTTACAGTTGAGGGTCGGCTGGCGGGCACCAAGTTCCAGTTGCAAAGGGTCGGACGATCAGAGGATGTAGAACAGACCGTTACTGGAAGGAGGGCGTACGGACTGGGATGTTGGGTTACTACAAGGGCCTAAATAACTACCAATATCATTGTGGGGGTTCCTTATAACTATAGAATAGTGGGACCCAAAACCTTATGGTGATTATTAAGGCCCCTATATTATACGTGCTGTAAACCAGCCACCCTATTTGCAATCCCATGCTTCGCGAAAGTGTGTGGGGCTATCGGGTTCATGCCTGGGGTCTTCCGGGCACCGCAAGTTTTTGGGCGGGAGGGATTTATTTAGGTATGCGAACACAGCAATTTCCTGACCTTTCCCGGCCGACTCTCCAAGCCCGGATGCAAAAAGGGTATGTTCGCATGGCATGGGCAGTTCCTGCTGTTTGCATTTGTCAGTGTTTTTTGCTATCATGGGCTGCCAGTCCGTAGCCGGTGAAGCATCATGTATATTGCGCCCTTCTTTAAACAGTAGAGCTTGTGTTTTATTGTCATTATTGCGGTTATTGCTACTATAGCTGTTATGATGACGAGCATCACAGCGGCTAGCGAAGAGAGACGCTTCCACTCTTCGCCACTCTGCACCCCACGCGATGTGGGGCTTTGGCAGCGCCACCGTCACCACCAGCGCTCGGCAGCACCAGAGCGTTCCTTGGAGGCGATTTCAATCCCTTGGATGCTCCACGGCTCATCATCATATGAAACATGGTGCTGTAGTAATAGTGGTAATAATGACGGTACTCATCGTAATGATAATCATGACAATAAGAGTAGTAAGAATAACGAAAAGAGAAAAATAAGCGTGCGGCAGAGGTGAGCACCCGATGGAGAAGAAAAGAGACTCCCGTGGCACTTAAGGATCCCAAGTGGGCGCAATGTGGCGCGGCCGAGAGTCCGGTGCTGCGCATTGCTGGCTGCTTGTCCGGGAGCTCCCGATAGTTTTAAATCCTAACCGGAGGCGTTCCGCTTTTGGAACCCAAGTTTGGTTCTAGAAGGGTGATGGATCCGGCAGAGCACATGACCTCAGTGTGACAGGTAACTTAAAGCTCCCGAGCCTCGCCAAACCACACCGCCGGAAATCCGAGCGGCGTCAAGCCTCGCACTTCGTGTCCTGAAGGTGTTGTCGAGGTAATGTCCGTATATGCTGGCTTTGTAGGACCTGGCTGCTAGAGGAGGGCAGAGGGTCTAGGGTTTGGGGTTTAGGGTTGACGTAGCTCCGGGCCGTTAGCTGCAGGTGCTGAGGGGCAGTTCGGCGAAAATTGGACTAACGGCATCTATGACGTGGAAGTGATCCATCCGGCTACTGGGCGCAACGTCCTTATCTTTTTGACAACCCTTCCTTCCTGTCGTCCATTGCTGGCACGCTCCGATAGTGTGGTAACTATGGAGTATAGTATAGTATAGTATAGTATAGTATAGTATAGTAATAGTACAGTAGACTACGACAGTCTAGTCTAGTCTGGTAAACTGCATACCTACGGTACTAACACTATACAGTTTGGTCTAGTCTAGTTTAGTCTAGCATAGTATATTGCAGTATAGTAGGTCCACAAGGAGATGCCGCCCGTCTACGTTTTGCGATCGGGGCCTTATGAGCGGTTCCTCTACCTGGATGCAGAGAGGCCTCCTGAGTCGCTTCGTCATGGTCTTAGGGCCTTCGGGTCAGGATTGAGGGGTTCGCGATTTCGTTGGCTAGCGGATTCATTCAGAAATGAAAGGTATGTCGAAGTGTACCGGCAAGATTCTCGACACATGGAGCCGAGTCAGTATGCCAAAAAAATGAACGCATCGTGGAAGTACATGGTCGGGAAGCATAGTTCCCATCTCGGCTCTGCATGATGTCATGCAGAACGCCACTTAGGAGGGGTCCCTAGCAGTCAGAGCTTTGAATGAAATTTCTGGCTGCGGGTCTCCGGCCGGGGATCCCGGGATCCAGCCAATCCCTGAGATACTGGCGAGTGGGCAGCTGCGAGTACAAAGATCAGGACTGGAGCTGACGGTGTCTAATCCTGACGGCTGCCCCGAAACCATAAGCCATGACCTGGGAACTAGGGACCATCCTCGCCTGCATTGCCCGAGTTGCGAGAGGCTAAAGGCCTTAGTGGCGTCAGGCGAAACAATTTCAAACCCCCAAAAGCCTGAGTTCGAGCATGTTTATGAAGTCGGCTTTCAGGTCTTCTGCTTGAAGCAGTAGTTACTGAAGCTCCGCTGACGAAGCCCTGACCAAGGCGGTAGGGGCTGAATGTTGTAATGTGGGGGCCTTAATAATTGGAAGAGGGTTTTGGGGGGTTCTTTAATACAACCATAGTACAATATACCCCCAAACCTTTTCTAATTATTAAGGCCCCTGTATTGCATTGCTTTCAAGAGCCGAAACCCTGAATCGTTGGACCAGTATCGCTACAGACCTTGCCAGGCTTGTCCGGGTGTGAGTGTAAAAAGTAGACGCCTGAAGAATCATCCCTATTGAGCTTTAGGGTTCCTTAATATAGTTTTACTATAGCCCTAAACCCTAAACCCTAAACCCTAAACCCTAAAAAGTTTTGCCATATGTGTACTAGTCATCAAGGCCCCGATGTGAGGCTCTTCTAAGCAACCCGGCGAGGCAGCCTCGGAAGCCTTAAACTGGGACCTTGTTCTCGTGATCCAGGCCCCCTTACACCCTAAACCCTAAACCCTAAACCCTAAACCCTAAACCCTAAACCCTAAACCGTAACCCAACACCCAATCCCATAAGCTTTTTAGCCTGGACTCGTGCCAGCAGGAGAAGGCGGCGGCGGGCTCCATGCGCAGCCTGCATCCGGTCGAAGTCCCAGCAGTAAGGGTGGAGTGTTACAAAGGGGTTTAGGGTTTAGGGTTTAGGGCTTAGGGCAAAAGAAGTGTACAAAGGGGTTTAGTGTAAATTTTAGCTTGAGGGTCTAAGGGTTGAGGTTCAGAATTAGGGGCTTAGAGGTCTAGGGCCTGGGGGTTGAGGGGTTTTAGGCCCTAGGCTCCTAGGGTCCTTAAAACTGAGTGGTTGCCAGGTTCCCGCCGGGACCTTGCCTCCCGCGGTGGAGGCTTGGACGGTCCGCCTCGGTTACGAGGCCGTGCCGACGGTTCAGGGCTTGGCTAGGAAACTAACATTTAATTGGATGAATATAGGGACCTCTGTCATTACCTATGCTATTTTGTCGGTTCCTTATTACAGTTAAACTATAAAGGACCCCCAAACCCTATTCTATTTATTAAGGCCCTTAGGGTGCGACAGCTGGGGTTTAGGGATGGTTGGGTATTTAGGGATTTCTACGGTCATCTTGGAGGGTTTCAGCCAACGGCTTGTTCGGTTCCAGCTTGACAAAACACATCTACTGTACCGGCTCAGGAGCCACCAAAGAACAACGTGCAAACACTGGGGGGTTAGGGCGGTTCGGGCCCATGGCGCCAAAAACCTCAAACCCTAAAGTGCACCGGCTTGGGGCTCAGAGTGATTGTGCTGCCGAAAACCTCAACCTCTACGTCCTAAAGCCAAGACGTGCAGGAACCCACCTGCCAGGACTGGTCGGAACAGGGCGTTGCAGTGCAGGTGCTCCCTTCACCGCCCCTTCGCTGCATGTTTTTGGGGCTTCAAGAATCGGTTGCACCTTATCCCACGATCCCGGGTTCAATTCACAGCTCTGGTAACTTCTGCTATAATCAATGCCATTTCCCTTGTCATTCTTAGCTCCTACAGGTCCGCAGAGAAACGCTACTGCAAAGCAGCACGCAGGCAAAGTCCTGACTTGGAGAGTCGTAGCCTAGGCCCTAAACCTTGCACATTCTAGGTAGTCTTCTCCCGTGCGCGATCTCAAAGGAGGTCCTGGGAGCGCCTGGACTTCTCGACGGGTTCCCAGCCCCCTAAACCCAAAGCCCTGCAGTCTACAAACAGCCCGCCCTGGCAAAAGGCACAAGACAAGAAGCTCAGGAAGCCTAAACCAAAAAAACCTCACTTTTCAGGGTTTAGGTTTTAGGGATAGTTGAGCGGATCTGTTTAGTCCTCAAGCCCAGTAGCAAAAAGGGACAGTTGAGAAGATGGACAAGCAGATGCTGGAGTGAGTTGTGGGGCAAGGTTGAGAGCAGCGCCATGCGCTTGCAAGGAGGCTTCTACAGGCTTGCAGGCATCAAGGTGACAGGAAGCCTTTTCTGAAATCTCTCAATAGGTAGACGCTTCTTAAGGTACGTGGGGTTGTAATAGATGTCCCTCTCAGAGGTCATGACTGCAACTGACCTCAGCACCAACCTTTGGGGACACCATCAGATCCCGACCCGACCCCTGAAGTGAATGAAGGTGGTGCACCGAGCTTGGTCTCTCCGGACCTGAGGCCATCGTAAGTCGTGGCTGGGAATGATTGGAATGGAGCTGCGAATACTTGGAGGACCATGGGACTTAGTAACTAGGGTTATAAATAAGGTAACTATAATTATAACCCCAATTAGGGTACTTATAACCGTACTTACTAAGTCCCATGATCCTCCAAGTACCGCGGATGCGCGGAAAAGGCCGTGGAATGCCAGCCATGGGCGGTGCTTCAGCTGGAATGCTTCGGCTCGGATGGCTACGAGAGACCTCTTCGACCGCAGGTGTTTGGCCGAGGCAGCAACACGACACCAAGATTTTTCGGATTCTGAGCTAAGAATTAAGGAATTAGCAAAGAGATATAGCGAGCAAGGCCCAGCGGTGGCTACCTTGCCGCACAGCCGGGCACGGCCCCTGCAGCGGCAGAGGCGTCGGCGTGAGGTGGCGCGTCTGAAGTTGAGCTTGGAGCTTGGGTAGAGGTGTGGGAAGAGTGAGGATGGTGATGATCGCGGCGGTCGAAGGGCTCGTTCTTATACTGTTGATGATGACTAGGAGGATGGTGGTGATCCGCGTTATGATAATGACGATGACGACGATTACTGCTGACGATGGTTGTTGGCGATGATGTTTTCGATGAGAATGCTGATCTGTGACGTGCTGCGACTTTGTGTCTTGTGTAGAGGTTCGTGCTGTGAGTTTACATTCTGTATCGGCGACAGTTGTTAGTAGTGCCAAAACTTCATTTCACTTGCTGCAGCTTGCAAGTAGTCAGTTGCTTCCTGCACTAGCCCCTTTGGGCAACTGTTGCGCAGCATGGTCTTCATTGTATTTCAATTGTAGCACTGTTTCGCCATCGCCATCCTTAACATCACTTTTGTTGCTGCTTTTCTGCTTTACACCTATTTCCGCGGTAAGGTTTCATAGCCAACCTCCATAGTGTTGGAATTTGTTCACTGCTGTTGTTTTGCCGTCGTCGTAGCAACACCAGTCCCAGCATGCATCCTCCCAGCATCAGAGGGCGCCGCATAGTTTTTTCAGACACATTACGGTCACGTTGCTGAAAATGACGAAAGAGGATGTTTGCAAGCAGCGTCTTCAGTGTGATGATTCTGCTTAAAATGGTGAAGATGATGATGATGAGGATTGCTGCCGCTGGTGATGGCCATTGGGAATGTTGTGTCGTAGGCTGTTTTGTAAGTAGCTGGCAAATGCTGGCAATGCTGTCGATAGATGCAGTTTTTTGTGGTGGGCAGAGCCAGGATGGGTATAGTGTTGTCATGACGAGCATGCTATTTTTTCGGTTTGTCCTTCTGCTTAATTCGACATGTCATTATCAGAAATCTTGGTATTTTTTATTTATTGTTCAGCTGCCTGCGATCGATCTCCGAGGCTGCGCTGTTGCACATCGGCGGAGACATTGATGTGCATATGGTAGGTTTTGGACATTCGCAATTTAAGTCGTCCCTGGACAGACTGTTCGAGGCCGTAGCCCAAACCCATGATCCACTCAGTGTGTATCTGTCTATTTCTGTGAGAGGTTGCTTGCATGAACGAGTTTGTGGTTGTGATGTATGTCAATGTCCTATTCCGTGCTGCAATATTCTGGTCCCTAGGCCTACTGAAATTAAAGGTTCTTGGCAACCATAGCCTGCAATCATTTGTTCCGAGTTCAGGGTTCGGTGGTGCGCAAAAAGTCACAAGGCAGACGAGTGCACTCAACTGAGTGAGGGCTGCCCTGGCACGAATAAAAAGGCAAATATTGGCCAGGGCTAGTCGTTGGCTCTTCTACCAGCTCGCGGCAGTGGTTTTGATTTTTAACTGCGGCTACATCTACTAGTTTTCTTAGCACTAGTTTCCCTACTACGGCCTCTACTGCTGTGGTGGTGCTGCTGCTGCTCCTGGTCCTGTAACAACAACAACAACTACTACCACCACTACTACGACGACGGCTACTACTACTACTCCTGCTGCTACTACTACTACTATTATTACTACTACCCCTACTACTACTACTACTACTACTACTGCTGCTAGTTCTACTAGTAGTACTAGTACCAGAGCAAGTTCTGGTACCAGGTGTAGTAATACTCATGCTGCTACAAGTACGAGTGCACATATCAATTTTACTACTGCTACTACTGCTGCTACTACTTCCGCTGCCGCTGCTGCTGCTACGACTTCTACTACTACTACTACTACTACTACTACTGCTCCTGCTCCTGCTCCTACTCCCACAACAACAACAACTACTACTACTACTACTACTACTACATCACTACTACTACTACTACTACTACTACTACTACTACTATACTACTACTACTACTACTACTACTACTACTACTACTACTACTAAGTACTACGGCTAGCACGACGACGACTACTGCTACTACTTCTGCTGCAGTTGCTACTGCTGCTGCTGCTGCTGCTGCTGCTGCGACGGACGACGACAGCTACTACCACAACCTGCTATTCACCGCTACCCGCACAGGCAACTGCTGCTGCTGCTGCTGCCTAATTTCCATTTCTCGTAGTGCTTGTTTTGTGTCTTTTGTTTTCGGTTTTGGCAGCAAGATTCCCGCTAATATTTGGATTGGCATGGTCATCGTCGTGGAAAATATAGTAGCTAGTATTGTCCTTGTCATTACCACAGCAACCAGCTCTTGGCCCTGTCTGCAAACTGTCGCGACATGGAGGCATCAGGTCATGTTTTCCCGAGGACTTGGGTGTCGTATATCCTTAGCATGCGACTTCCTTCTAGTGGAAGTTTTGACATGCGTGGGTTCATGTTTCTATCTATCCGAATCTATCCAACGGTAATTATATTCACGTATGTGTGTACGTATGCATGTATGTACGTAATGTATGTATGTATGTATGTATGTATGTATGTATGTATGTATGTATGTATGTATGTATGTGTTTGTTTGCTTGTTTGTGTCTCCCCCTCTCACCTTTTCACTTCCTTCCTCGTTGTCAATATCGGTTTACCCTGCTTGCATCGCAGAGTCTTTTGGCCCAAGTCTTCCCCAAGCTACGGCGTTTCAAGAAGCGGCTTACCGGCTATGAAGCTCCTCGCCGGCTATATGCTTGCTGGTATTAAGTTCTCGCGAGGTATTGGCGGTGTGAGCTTCCCGTGTTCACCACCATCGTCAATCAGTAGCCCTTCCCCAACGTACTTGCGACACTGTCCTCTAGATAGTTGCGTGGAAATCTGGAAGCCTATAGACTGCGTTTGAGCCGACTGTTGAAATTCTCGACTTCCAACAAAAGCTTAAAACCTGACCCTAAGTCCTTCGGCCTTGAGCCCACCTCTCAGAAAAAACGTGCATCCGCGACATATCGACTGCTCAGCATTGCCCTACATTAGAATCATTTTCAAAATCGAAGTACTCTCGAATCACCGTGGAACCGTTTGGGGATCCGTGTAGCTGCTGGGATGAAATCAGCCTTACGCCTGAGTTCCTACTCCTTAAAGCGATAAAGCCTAAACCCTAAACCCAGGCTGAACCGTAAACCCTATTGTTCTTGTTTTGATAGGGTCTTGAACTCGATGAGTGTTTCACTTCATTGCGGACCTCGAACCATATGCCTCGCCTGGAGTGTCCGAGTGTGAGCGCCGAAAGCCCAAATCCTAAACTCCAAACCCTAAACCCTAAACCCTAAGGGAAAAAAACCCGACCTGCGACTATGGAACCTCGCCCGGCATGTCCGAGTTGTGAGAGCGTATAAACCCTAAACCCCAAGAGAGTCCAGAAACCCTAAACCCCAAGAGAGTCCAGAAACCCTAAACCCCAAGAGAGTCCAGAAACCCTAGACCCTAAACCCTAAACCCTAAAGGGAAAAGAGAGTCCAGAAACCTTCCAGGCCCAAGACTCTTCAAGGAAACCTCTGTCAGCCGAAGCGCAAATGACCATGTCGTGTCTCCCTGTGTACCATCATGAGCTCTGCTTTGGGTGCCTTTGGGATCAAGAGCGGCTTCCGTGGTGTTTAAGAGTTTGTGTTGGGACCGGGTATAAATCGGTTCACTAATCAGAGGATGTTATGGAAACCTAGGTTCCCCAGTAGCCCCTAAATAATAAGGGTACCCTTTTTTCTACTATTTGGGTTTATTAAGGGAGCCCAAAAAGAAAAAGGGCAAAACGGTACTACTGGGGAACCTAGAAACCCAACCAGAACCCTAAACCCAAAACCCTAAACCCTAAGCCCTAAACCCCAAACCCTAAACCCTAAACCCTAAACCCTAAACCCTAAACCCTAAGTCGTGGAAACCCAGCAGGAGATTTGGCCTGGCCTTCGCGCTCTCGCTGCTTGCGGTCGGCCTTGCGCAAGAAGAGGTCGCTGTGCAGTTCCATAATCTGCGAGGGTTTAGGGTTTAGGGTTTAGGGTGAGTATGCGATTCAGAGGTATTTGGGAGTTTCAGAGAATTAGGGGTACCTTATTTTGGGGTCCTTACAATAGGGATCCTATTATTTAGGGTACTATATTAAGGTCCCCTATTTTCGGAAACTCCCATTTTCCAAGCACGACGGCAATGTCTCGATCAGGGGCTAATATGCTGTGTTCTGCGGCTTGCCAGATCTGCCGGACGCAGCAAGCGGCACATTGCTTCGTCTAACCTTGCCAAAGCTTGGGGTCCGTCCTTCTGTTATGGCTACGCTTCGCACGCTTCGCGTCGATAATTATCGGTTTACGGTCTAGGGTTTGCATTATTCCCAGTGTTCTGCCTGCGCAACGGTGCTTTTCGTATCGCCATCTGTTGTATCATTCCTGCTAGTATGTTGGTGGGTGTGATCCCTACCCTGCTCGCCCAAGAGGTCCTAAGTTCACTCTTCCGACAGTGCTGCTGCCGGCGACCTTTTCTTGGGGCTTCAGGAGGCTGCACCCGCCGCGGAGCCGGAGACCGTGACCCCGGCACCTCCACCGCCGCCTCCGCCGCCACCTGCTCCGGTGCTCACTGGGGAGGCGGCGCTCTCAGGCGCGGCGGGAAGGGCGCTCACGTAAATTGATTCGGGTTTAGGGTCACAAGATTAGGTCGTGGTCTGGCTGGACTTGCGCCCAGTATTGAAGGGTCATAAGATTGCAGACTTTGCGGGGGAAGGAAACCTACGGAACAATTTGTTCCGATCCTGCAAGTCCACACTATCGTCCGGGTTCCTTAGTATTCGTATAGTATAATATACTACACAGCCGTGTTCTAATTATTAAGGGCGGGCGGGGGCTCATCTTAAGCCTTCCAACCTCAAGCAGTTCTTGCCGGGTGTTGTCACAGGCCGTGGCGAAAACTGGCGAATGATTACTTTTGGCATGCTCGAAGTTGCAGGGAACGGTAACAACAGAACGCAACCCGTGACGGGTTGACATTCAACCTCCAATCCCAACTCCCACCTTCATTTTGGCGGAAAGGTTCGTCTTAATAGACTCCATTCTAAGGGCCTCA